GTCTTTGGAAGAAACTGATACCAACCCTCCTGGATGACTTTGAGAGGGTCAAGACTTCAGTGGAGAAAGTAACTGTAAATGTGGTGGAAAGTGCCAGAGAACTAGAATTATAAGTGGAGCCTGAAGATGTGACTGAACTGCTGCCACCTCATGGTCAAACCTGAATGGATGAGGAACTGCTTCTGACGGATGAGCAAAGAGAGTGGGATTCTTGAGATGGAACCTACTCCTGGTGAAGATGCTGAAATGACAACAAAAGACTTAGAATGTTGTATAAACTTAGTCGATAAAGCAGTGGCAGGGTTTGAGAGGACTGACTCCAATTATGAAAAAAGTTCTGCTGTGGGTAAAATACTGTCATACACCATTGCGTGCTGCAGAGAGAGATTGTTCACGACAGGAAGAGGCGACCGATGTAGCCAACTTCACTGCTGTCTGACTCTAGGAAACTGCCCGTCCCCCAGACGTTTAGTCACCACCCTCATCAGTAAGCAGCCACTGACATCGAGTCAAGACTCTGTGCCAGAAAAAAGACGGCAACTTGCTGAGGCTCTAATGATACTAAGCATTTTTCAGAAATAAGTATTTTAAGATTAAGGTATGTACATTGTTTTTTTAGACATAATGTTGTTGTGCATGTAATAAACTACAGTACAGTGTAATTAATTTTGATATGCACTGGGAAACCAAAAAATTTATGACTTGCTTTATTGCAGTTTTTGCTTCATTGTGGTGGTCTGGAACCAAACCTGCAATATCTCCGAGGTGTGCCTGTACACTAATATTAGAGATAGAAAAAGTCCACGGGGCAAAAATCTACAAAAGAATAAATGTATCCTACAAAGTAAAATAAACTGATAATTGACACCTTGGTTATGCTCTTACCTTTAATGACACATCAATTTGATTTTTGATATTTTGAATAATAAAGGCCTCCACACCTGAGTGATTACTTGTATTCAGTAAGCACCTTAAAAGCAAAAGTACATTTGAAATTATCCTGGACTGCACTGTAATTAAAATGATGAAAGTTTACAAATTCCAATGGGCCATGTGTTGTTCTAGGAACACAAAAACCAGAGAGGACAATTCGCAAGGTGATCAACTAACTGCAAAGATCACCTATTAAGGTTATTGCCCTCACTAGCCGCAAATTCTGTTGTTCTTTTAATTGAAATATAGTCAGTTATAATACATCAATTTCTGGTGTACAGCATAATGTTTCAGTCATACATATACATACATCGTTTTCATATTCTTTTTCACTATAGGTGACTACAAGATATTGAATATAGTTCCCTGTGCTATACAGAAGAAATTTGTTTTTTATCTATTTTATATATAGTAGTTAACATTAGCACTTCTCAAACTCCCAATATATCCCTCCCCCAGACTTTCCCACCGGTAACCATAGGTTTGTTTACTATGCCTGTGAGTCTGTTTCTGTTTTGTAGATAAGTTCATTAATGTCTTCTTTTTTCTTTCCTTTTTTTTTTTTGATTCCACATATGAGTGATATCATGTGGTATTTTTCTTTCTCTGACTGACTTCACTTAGAATGACTATCTCCAGATCCATCCATGTTGCTGCAGATGGCATTATTTTATTCTTTTTTATGGCTGAGTGGTATTCCATTATATAAATATACCACAGCTTCTTTATCCAGTCATCTGTTAGATTGCTTCCATGTCTTGGCTATTGTAAATAGTGCTATGAACATTGGGGTGCATGTATCTGTTCAAATTAGAGTTCCCTCTGGATATATGCCCAGGAGTGGGACTGCTGGATCATATATGGTAAGTCTATTTTTATTTTTTTGTTTTCCATAATGGCTACATTATGGCTATTTTGTTTTCCATAATGGCTACATTCCCAGCAACAATGTAGGAGGGTTCCCTTTTCTCCACTCCCTCCCAGCGTCAAATTCTATTTTAACTGAATCTTTCCAATAAGAAATTTCTATAAAGCCAAATTTGAATCTTTTTATGCACGTAGTTGCAATGCTTTCACATGGGAAGAATGGGCACTAGTATAATATCTTAAAAACTAAAAGCACTCCCAGTGAAAGTAGACTAGTCTGGTTAGACTAACTTAATTACAAAGAAAGAACAATCGATTAGCTTAAGAAGAAGGCAGAGTTTTTTCGTAGGGAAACAAAATAGGTAGATGAATAGGAAGCTGGTAGGAGACCTAAGCATCACACTGCGATTTCATAAATCTGCCCTGACTCTGGCAGTAGAAAAGAAGACAGGAGCAGGAGTTAGTACTGGCCAGTCCCAAAGCAGACTTCTCAGCACGTAAACACTGCCCCAGTTTGGTTTTAACTCAGATTTATACATAGCTGACAGCACACTAAGGTCCACAGGCCAAATCCCGCTGCTGCCTGCTGTTTTACTGGAAGACGCGCACCCCTCCATCAAGACAAAGCTGAGCGGCCGCGGCAGATGCCGTGTGGCCTGCATGCCCGTGCCTGCTTATAACCCTCTGCAGAGAGTGTGCCAACCCTGAACTCGGAGAGCGGCTAGAATCTACCCCCTCAAACAGCACTATGAAGGAGCTCCCCTGTTAAGTTCAAGTGGACACTCTGCCCAGAGTTGTAATTTCAGCGCCATTAATTTTAACTGTGAATAACAGAGATCACTGACCTATCTAGAGTTCTAGCAGGAGCCCCAGCAGTCTCAGCTCGATCTCTTAAGTCTGTTTTAATTTTGGAGAACTTCAGTTAATTAAACTGAAATACGTATTATTATTTATGTAATATATATTGATACATGTATCCATAATTTTTGATTAGCTTTTCCCTACCCACCACAGATAAGAGAATTTATTGTAATATGGCTTCCAGCCAGAGTGGAATTACATGTAAAATACACCAAAATACAATAACCTAGAATAATTAATGGCATTAATTTGGTTTTTAACCAACTTTGCAATTAACCATTCTCAATACATACCTAAATAATGTATATTTGCCTTGTGATTCCAACTTGTTAATATACAACTGAAGCACGGCTAAACCCTTTTTTCTCTAAAATGGAACAAATAATATTGTTATATAAACTAAAGATTAAATTGTTTATTAAAACTTCTTATTATTCAGTCCCAAACATGTACATACCAGTGTCTCAGTGGGGCAGAGTGTCATTATTTTGACTAAGCCCTGGAAATTTAAAAAAAATTAATTCAAATGTTAATAGATTATATTTACCACAAAGACTGTATTATTGGTGGATACTCTAGAAATGCAGAGAAGTGCGGGCAGGAGATTTTAAAATGAAGGAAGTTTTTCCCTGAGCCTTCCATTCCACTTCTAGGTCTATAGGAAGCTAAATACAACCCATTTTGTAAGTGACCCTGAGCTGGGTGGTATAAAGTGTAAATTTAGAAGTGAAGGGTAATTTTCAGTTATGTCTACAGAGTGGCAAAAAAATGAAATGGAACATGCTGAAATGTAACCCCATTAATCTAAAATAATCAGGCTTAATATACTAACAAAAACCATATTTTTTCATTTAAGAAGTGGAAAAACAAGTTTCTACACTGACATCTGAGGACCTACTTAGCTACGACAGCTAACAGTATAAAACAGGCAGAATAAATCACAGGAGGGAAAAACAAAATGTCCTTCTAGTAATGAGTTAATGCATCCTTGACGGAGTCCTGAGGACTTGAGTTATGCTCAAAATAAAAGGGCTTCATTTTCTAAGGTTCCTACAGAAGCAAAGTGTTAAAGAATACAGTTACATTTTCTACTAGATGCTGTGCTGTCGACTGTGGCAACCACTAGCCACGTACAGCTACGTACGTTTAAATTAACTTACAGTAAATAAAATTTAGAGTTCAGTTCCTGAGTCACACCAGTCGTATTTCACATGTTCAGTGTGGCTAGTGGTTCTCAAACTGCATGGCACAGATAACAGAATGCTTTACTATCACAGAGTTCTGCTGGACAGCATGGCCCTAGTTTCAGAGGACATGGAGAAGAAAGTGGGAGAGGAGCCTGAAAAGACCTGAAGTTCAGAAGAGCAAAGGGACTTCTTCAAGATTAGAATGCATACTTCACTCACCTGAGGCACAGTAAGGAAGCTCTTGATTTCTAAGTACTGGTGAAGCAGCCTGTTGTCCTCTAATCTCAACAAACCGTTCTCCAGCAGGTCCTGCAGGTTAAGATACGTGCAGAGACACATAAATTGTAAAGTCAGTAGCTGTGTTTGTCAACATGATTATGCATTTAAATTACAATGGGTGCAAACAAATCTTACCAATCCTTTGGAGAAAACAGACTCCTCTGTTCTGAAAGAGAATATTAAAATTTATCAACATGGTTTTCTAAACTTTTAAAATTAATTTTCGTTTTAGGAAAAATAAAGCAGAAATTGAAATTTAAATACTTTAAAAATATGTATCATTAAGGAGAAATTCTGTTGAAGAACTTAGTCAGAATTCTGAATCCATTTTTGATCTGTCTTTTGATTTCTACTGACATCCGTATCTAACCAAAATCAGCCCACTCAGAGCTTACTCCTGGTATCAGATCAATAGATCTCCAACTGCAAGTGCTAAGAAATCAACTGTACCTTATACAGTGCTAAGCATTTTAGTTGATTAATCAGTAAAACTTTTTCAATTCTTTATACATATAAAGAATTAATGCTTCCCCTTGCGATCATGTATTTTTTAAAGGTTTGCGATCATTGTTAACTAGGTAAGATCTGTGGCAAAAAATATTTATCTCAGGCTCCAGGTTCTTATTGTAACCGAATAAGGAATTAAAAGTGTTACAGTTTTTGGCTCAATGATTAACAGTTTGGAAATCTTAAGACTACAGAACTTAAGATTCAAATCAACAAGTATTCTCTTTTCATAAATAAAAAGAAACTAAGTAAAAAATGTAAAATCATTAAGACATACATAAGACAGTAAATTTACAGAGATAGTAACTGCTTGTGCCAGGAGACCCTTGGAAATTCCTGCCTTGTAGGCCGAGGCTTTGGACATCTGCCATGTTACAAATCTTCCTTCACCTTGGAAGAGATGGGATTAATACACTATCACTAGTGTTCCTAGAGGAAGTACTGAAAGGCCCTGGCTGATCTCGAGATAATTAAAAGGTTACAGGAAAAGAAAACAAAGCATACAGAGCTTTGTAAAATTCTTAAGTATCTGTCTGGGAAACTATGCAAACGTATTACTTTGTAATGTTTTTTAAAAGAGCGTCTTTCTTCTTATTGGTGCCTCAAATGAGAAAAGTTATTGAACGGTACCACTGTTAGTAATCTAAGTTATAAAGTGGAGTCAAGACATCTCCTTCCTTTTGATGTAGTTCACAGACTTTGTCCATGAAGCAAAGCCACGGATGAATGTCTTTTTTATTGGCCACCCCTTCTTAGATGGAAGAGGCTGCAGTGGGACAGAGGTTTTCTCAAACAACAACTTCTGAAATAAGCAAAGAAACCTCAGAAGCAGATGACTGGAAATCTCCTTAAAAGACAATTTTTTTAAGTTATTTTTATTTGGGGGTTAATAACTAGGTTAACTTATTTATTTGTTTTTGGAGGTACTGGGGATTGAACCCAAAACCCTGTGTATGCTAAGCATGTACTCTACCACTTGAGCTATGCCCCCCCAGGCAATATTTTAATATTATATTTGGTTTAAAATAAAAGATTCTGTTGTAAAACCTCTTTGGTTCCTTTTTTGTCTCTATTGTGAATATTTGCTTCACTATTTTATAAAATAACCAATTAATTAACTAGGGCGTGGCAAAGAGAAGGCAGTCTCCTCTGTTCTTGACAAAGACTATCTTAATGCTACTGTTTAATTCTGAGATGCCATCTAAATGATCTTACCTTTGTAAAAGGACTTGAATATGGCCCATGTTAAATTGCAAAAGGTATGATGGGCTGAAATAGAAAATATGTATATATAAACACACACACATGCATTTTTAGAAGTTTTACATACATAAAAGCTACGCTGGAGTCCTAACCACCATACGACCTTATTTGCATAAAAAGTCTGTCTTTAAAAATAACAATTAAGGTAGTGATAAGCTGGGGCAGAGCAGGAAGCCCCGCACCTGGGGACAGGGTCTTTACAGGGGTAATCAAGGGAAAGTGACAGTAATTCGTGTGAGTCCTAATCCCGTATGACTGATACCCTGATTAAAAAAGGGGCCGTGGACAACACGCACAGCCGGAGAAGGCAGCATGAGCGCGGAGGCCGAGGCCGGGCGACGCCGACGCGGCGACGAGCCGGGGCGCCAAGGACCGCCCGCAGAGCAGCAGGAGCCGGGAGCGCGGCGCGGCCAGACGCTCCTTCCCGCCGGCACCGGGACCTCAGACTCGCAGCCTCCAGAGCCGCAAGGTAGGAGTGTCTGTTATGTTAAGCCGTGTGGTTTGTGGCACTTTGTCACGGCAGCCCGAGCAAACGAAGCCCCCGTGGGCGCGGAGGCGGTTCCGGACACAGGCTGCGGGGTCGCCGGAACTGCCGCGACTCCACCTCGCCCGCCCGCCGACTGCTGCACGGGCCTGGGCGGGGTCTTCGCTTGTGTGAGCTAGTTACCGTCCTCCGCGAAGACGGGGGGCGCTCCACTTGGAAGGGTTATTACAAAGATCAGAGAACACATACAAAGCTGTTAGCATAGTGCTTAATGCATGATGAAGTGCAAGTGGTAGCTATTGTAACAGTATTCACAAATACATCTTCAAGTATATTTGTACATAAATATACACAAAGAAATACACCCAAGGCCTGCAAGACAAATACACAGTCCTTATCATGGAACTTAAAGTCCAAAAGGTGTTACATTACAAAAGTATGTATTTATTTTTCAAAGTTTTGATTAAAATTCAGTTTAAAAACTTTATGGGAAAAGAAGGACAAGGTCAAGGTCATTATAACAGGAAGATTCAACCTAAATTGGGTGATGAGAGAAGGCTTTCCTCAGAAAGCAACATTTAAGGACAAAGAAGGTTCTAAGCATGTACAGGGGCCCTGCAGCAGGAAGGTTCGTGACACATCTGAACAAGAAACGCCGAGGTCTGTGCTACTGGAGCACAGTAAGCAGGAGGAAAGGTGGCAGCAGGTAAACCCGGACAGTAAAGCAGGGACCAGATCATGCAGCAGCTCGCCTCCCAGGAAGTCATTTAGACTTTCTTCTTAGAGCCACTTAGGAAGCCACTGAAGGGTTTTCATTAAGGGGCTGGCCGTCCTTAAAGCTTTCCTTTCTCGTGTGTTGAGAATACACTGGATTAAAAGAGACTGAGGGTGGACATATAAATATCCACTCAGAATCACATTCACAATCCAGTGAAAAGATGATGGTAATTCAGGCGCCCCACTGGTAACTGGCCAGTTCCCCTACAGTCCAAGGTGTCCCAGCAGCTTTAAAACCAAGCTCCGTTTAGCACTTTCTGGCTCTTGCCCACATCGTTCCCTATGTCTGTTTCAGCAACCCCCCTCCACCCTTTTCACTACTTGACTGCTGCTGGCTTTAACAGACTATGGGCAGTATCAATTTCGAATAAGAATAAATTTTGTTTATACTTCACTTAAAAGGTATTAGTGCATTAATAAACATATACTAGACATTAGATAAATAAGTGTGATGCTGTCCCTTTCAGAATACACAAGTGAACACTAAGTCCTACCTTAAGACCATGGGAAGCTGATCAATGCTGATGCCCTGCACGAACACGAGGTACGCCAGAGAAGCCAGGGAGTCTGATAACTGCTTGTGCTCTTCTTCCTCAAATTCAAGATAATCCCAAGTCTTCTTTTTCCTTCCATGATTAAAAATCATTTTGGGGAAAGGGTATCCAATTGCTGATAAAAAACCCTGTGAAATGGATTAAAAAAGCTGTAGCAGACACTCTAATGTGCCCTCTCCCGCGCCACGTTCACACCCTGTATAACCCCTTCCCCGAGAGTGCGTGAGGCCAGGGAGACTTGCTTCCAACTAACAGAACATGGCAAGATGCACCCACCCCACGATTAGATTATGTTACATGGCAAAAGTAAAGGGATTTTTGCAGATGTAATTAAAGTCCCAAGTCAGCTGACTTGACTTGAGAAGGGAGATGATGCTGGGTGGGCCTGACTTAACAGGAAGAGGGTTTTAAACAGGGTCCAGGCCCTCCTTGAGAGCCAGAAGCTCACCCCTGCTGGTGACAAAGAACTAAACTGCCAGGCTATGAGGTGGCCTGTGAAGAAGGCTGTGTGGCAGGCAACTACAGGCAGCTTCTAGGAGCTGAAAGTGGCCCCTGGCCAGCACAAAAATGAGGACCTCAGTCCTATTGCTTTAAGAAGATAAATTTTGCCAACCTAAAGGAACTGAGTGGGAAGATGGAACAGTTTTGGAGATGGATGGTGGTGATGGTTGCACAACGATGTGAATGTACTTAATGCCACTGAACAACACAATCAAAAATGGTTAAAATGGCAAATTTTATATTTTACCACAATTAAAAAAAAAAGTGCCTCAGAGAGATTTGAGGACAATCTACAAATAGTAGACATACAACTATCATGAAATGACAGTAAACTAACCACTCAGATGCAGAACAGGAACAAAACTGCACTGGCCACTGTTGGCCGAGACACTGAGTGGGCAGGAGGACGCTGGCCTGCGGCAGGAGAGGCCGGGGACCCGGCGCTGGTATCTCAGGTCATGTGGGCTCTTACGCTGGGGTGGGGGGGCACGCCTGCAGGAGGGCATGAACTACAGGCTCACGCTTGTTTTCTAAGGACGGAAGGAGAGAGAGACCTGAGGAATACAAGCTCGCGCTGACGCCTCCTACTTCTCACCCCAGAGTCCTGGAAAGCATCTGACCTTCAGAATCCAACGGAACTGCTGTGAGCCCCTGGGTGAGCTACCTAGCCTCTCTGGAGTCTCAGTTTCCTTATCTAGAAAATGACAACACACATCCATGTCAAGTATTTACTGAGAAGCTCCACAAACAAAGTACAAGAAAGTTAAGGCCACAGCAAACCACTACACAGCAATCAAAAGGGGACGACAAAAACAGCTAAATCAGAAGGAATACTGACCTTCCACACAGTCACTCATTTATTCAGGAAACACCTGAGGACCAGGCTCTGGGCCTGACACTGGGGAATCAGAAAGCCAAATAAGACTTTGCCAGCCTTCAGGGAGTTACAACCCGCCTATCCCAGACGGCTCCATTAGTCACTTCAGAACACAAAAAGGAACCACGGAGAACCCTCTCCGTCACAGGAGGCTGCCGCTCAGCCACCCGAGGCCGGACAGACCCTGCCGCGCTGATCTGCAGAGCCACGCACTCTCGCTACAGCTAGCAGACGAGTTCGCTGCGTTCAGACACCAGACGTCCTCCTCGTCACACAGCCCCATTTCTGCATTCGGCCAAAGCTGTATGTGCTTTCCCCCTGCCCCCACCCCAGGGTAAGATTAGCTTTCCAAAAATCACCACGTGTAACCAGAGTCTACAGTGCTGTTCTGGATATCTGGGGTTCACCTGGGTCCAAATCAGGGCCTTCACTATCTCCCCACATACCATCCAGCAGTCGCGCTCAGACCCAACATACCTGCCACTCTGCAGTTTCTCATGGCAGTCTTCACCCTGTCACGAACGTTCTATGCTGCAGCCCTTGGGACGTTCAAGCAGCTCTGCACCAAAACGCCTTGTGCCACAGGGACGGCTGAGGTCACCAACCCCAGGCCTGCCGCACTGACCTGCACCTCTCCCAGCACCGAGCAGATAGCACCTCCTCACTTCATTTCCCGCCCTGATTGCAGCCCGATTTCTTGACTGCTTTGTGCTTCCGCACTGCTGGAAGGAGTGTAGTTTACTTGTAAGGTCCCTTCCACTGAGATCTGAGAACCCTACACCCTCAACCCCTGCACAGGATGCATGCTCCATATCACTAAAGAAACCGGGCTGATCTCTGGTGGGAGCTGCTCTTACACCGCACAGCCGGGAAGGCAGCAGTGGGGCGGGCGGGATGGGTGGAGGCTCACTGTTACCCTGCTTCCTCCTGCACTCGCCAGCAAAGGCACATTCTCCTCTGAAGCAGATGCCAGGCTGCCCTTTATCTGTCCTTATCTCTGACACATGCTGACTCCCTGGTCACTTCCCCGTGTTCACTGAAGACACTGGTACCTGCTCACCATCTTTTCCCCCGTCCTACTCCTGCTATGATCCTAGGAAAACAATGTTCACGTCGATAACTCCAGCAACAGGCCAGCCTCGTGATCCTTGTGACCACTAAATTCTCGTGACCTTAATTTTCTGATCAATTTTGGTGCTTAATTCCATCCTGGACCTCTGTCAACATTGGGAGCTAACCCATTTTAGACACGTAAGCTCATCTCATTTTCTGACCACAATCTCTTATTCTGTCTCTCCTACAAACCTCCTTTTCTACCTCTGACTTCTCCAGCCCTGTTATTTCTTCATTTTAACCTACCCATCTGTCCGCTCCTAATTCCCTCTCTTTCCCTAAATGCCCAATGCACTATTCATCATTTGAAGTATATGCACCCTTATTTCCTATAGCTACATCTACCCAATAAAATGTCAGCCTCGGAAAAGCAGCTGCCATGCATCTTCTCTGCTCCTACGCCCAGGCAGTGAGTGCTGCTGGAGCACTGTCACCAGTCTGCAGTCACAGGCCCCGAGTGCTCAGGCCCCGAGTGCACAGGCCCCGAGTGCTACTGACAAACACTCTCTCGGCCGTCCACCGCTCTTTCCTCTCCCCTCAGGATCTCAAACCTTTACCAGTTCCCTGAAGCCCCTTATCCAATCCTCATTTCTACCACCGCATGCTCATCTAGGAATCTGAGGTCGGAGGGTCTGATTCCCCTGTTACAATACTCCATCACGGCTACGAATTCTCCCACACGCACGCCCACCCTCACCCCTTCCCCTCCAGACGCCCTCGGTCCTACGCACAGCAGCCTGCTCTCCTCTGGCCACATCATTTGCTGTCCCACGACATTTCTCTTTCCCCTCTGACAGTCCCCACCCCTCAGCCTACAGACGTGCGCAAGCCTCCGTCTCCCCCATTACCTCCTCCCTAAGCCCAGGTCTTCTGGCTGCTGCCTCTCTTCTTCCTCACGTATCCAAACTCTTTTAAAGAATAGCTTATACTCGTCATCTCCTTTTTCTCATTTTTCACGCACTCCTTTATCCACTTCACTGGTTTCTGTCTCCCACACTCCAGTCAAATCGTTCTTGCTGAGGCCAGTGCCATCTTACTTTGTAAATCTAGTGAGTGCTTTTCAGCTCCTACTTGACAAGCTCTCTCTACTGCGTGTAACAGCAGCAATCTCGTCTTCTTCCTCAAACTCCACTACTTCAGTCTCTGTGATATTCCTACCACCTCTTCTTTCCTGGTCCCCTTGGTGGGCTCACCTTAAGTGCTGGTCCTCTGCAGGGCTCAGTCCTGAACCCTTTTCTCTTCTCATGCTGATTTTCTGTGAGCTGTTCTAGCAAATAATCGAATCTAACGGGGAGGAGGTCATGGGACCCTCTGATGTGTAGCCAGGCTGGACAGAAGTTGTGGGTAACCTGGGGACCGACCACCAGTGATTGGCATCTGAGCCCTTAACCCTTAGAATGATACAATCTCCAGGTGGGCGGTGTTAGAATTGAGCTAAATTGTAGGACCCTACAATTGCTGTTGCTGCAGAATTGTTTAGTGTTGGGAAAAAAATGCATCCATTTGGTGACCAGAAATGTCAGAAGTGGAAGTGTTCTGAGGGAAAATAAAGGAAAGGGACACAGAAGGAGAACTGTAGATTTTTCCAGAACAGGTGTTAAAATTATTTATATTTGGGTAGTAGAATTATCGTTCATTTGTCATCTTTTTGTTATCCATGTTCCACAAAAAAATGCATATTGCTTTATTAATAAATAGATCAATTTACATGCCCATGTGCAGTACGTAAGAATACAGCAGGTGACATTTTAGATTACAGCAGATTTCACAGCACATTAGACTAGCTGTACTTACTATTATTTCAGACGCAAAACACCTGAAAGGATCATTTCCAGCTTCTTCAGACGGCTCAGGGAATTGTGCTGTCAGCAAAGGGCATTTCAAGCTTTTGAAACAACTAGAATTGAAGAAATGGGTAACTATGAATACAGCACTTCCTAAGTGTAAAATAACTAGTTTTCACATGAAAAATTATATAAACAGCAATAACTCAATGGCCTGTAAAACTGGTGATAAAAGACCCTTCTTACTGGGAATGAGGAAAGCGTAAGAACACATTGCTAGACTCAAGCAGAGAGCCACTCCCGTGTCCGACTACACCGATGGATGCCGAGTACCCGTCTTAGCATCAGTGCTCGTGCATGGACAGTTTTCATTACTTCAAAGGAAAACTGGCTCAATGTAGTAATTTTTTCATAAAGCTATATTTATTTTATTTACTAAAACCAAACTTTATTCTGTGATTAAGGCTGACCTATTTTTAGTTAAAATATCTTCTTTCATGAAATAATGGGTTTTATAAATGGTAAAAAAAATTTTTATTGTCCTAACCTGACAAAAGAGAAAGCTAACAGTAGTTTTAGTCCCCAACAATTTTATTTTTAAAAAATGAAATTATCAGTCCATGTAATTCAATATAGTCCAGCGCTGTCCAACAGAAATACACTGTAAGTCCCATACATAATTTAAAAGTAGTAGGGAACAGGAAAAATTAATTGTAATAATTCATCTTATTAACCCATATACCTGAAACATTATTTCAATGTTATCAGTATGAAAATTATTGAGGCATTTCAGTGTATTTTTAATAACAAGTCTTGAAAATCCAGGGAGAATTCTCCACTTAGGACACGGACTAGCCGAGCCCGAGTGCGTGAAGCCAGGCGGAGCAGCGCGCACACGGCGCCCAGGGCCCTCCCCGCCGCCGGCTCCGCGGCCGCGCGCGAAGGGAGAGCGGGACCCAGCGCCGCAGAGCAGCGGCCCCCGGCGCCCCGCTTCCCCGCCGCTACCCGCTTACGGCCGTGAGTACGGCGGCCCGCAGAAGCTGTGAGTGGGTGAAACCAATGCACTCGGGTTTTAAGTTTTTGCAGCCTCAGTTCCTCATTAAATGCCCATGTTAACAACTGAACTCCATATCCTTCCAAAATTCAAAATCTGAAACTAGGTTTATATTTCCATTGCAAGCAAATAAGACAAAGAAACATAAAATAACTGAACTACCAGTTACTTAAGTCCTTATGGATTGTTCTTCAAAGTGCACTTACAATTTCAGTAATTCATCCTTTAATTTTTCATTTTCCACTGAGTTTTCCTTGTCAGCAGCGACTTCCTCCACAAAAGGCTGAGTAAACTCTGCCAGGGCCTTGCAGCACCGACAGAGGCCGTGGTCGTCCGCTCGCACTTGTTCTTCCGAGTAGGGAACAGGAAGCAGCGAGAGCTGACTCCACAGAGTGGACAGCGCTAGCCCGACTGAATACGCCTTGTTCTTACGAAGTTTCTGAATCACTAAAACGGAGACCAAGTTGCCACTTTAGGGGCCTCATCAAACACGCTACATACGGAACGAGAAGTCCAGCAAAGACGTAATGTCAGGATTACAGATGTAATCGCATACCTTACCTGGCAGTGTTTTTTCCTTCTGAGTGGCACATAAAATAATGGAGCATCTTGTAATTGTGGCACTTCACAACAGATGCCATTAAAGTTTCGTTTAGGTATATTTATACCAGGTTATATACTTGAAACAGAAACAATTCTTTCCCTATTCTTTGGTTGTTACAAGTATAAAATAAGAACAAGTGTCTTGTAAACTACAAAGCACTGTAAAACTGAAAGGTGGTAGTGCTTTTCTTTCTAGAAGACTTTGAATGTTGCAAGTGGTACAAAGCTGCTGGGCACTCACATTTAAATAAATTTACTCTAGCTCCTGATTCTGGGTCCCTCTGTCAGACTCTGAGTTACATGCAGGTCATAAAATGAAAAAGTAGTCTCTTCCCATGAATAGACTGTCTGCCTTGGCTGCCGAAGCCCATTTCTTACCAATGCCGTTCCCACACCCAGCCGTGCCGCCTGCTCTTCCCACACTGTCTCCTTCTTCAGCAGTGCCTCTGCTGCTCCCAGTCCCAACTCCCAACGCACAGGTGAGCAGTGCCCTGCCCGATACCGTTTTTAATCAAGATACAGGACTACCACGATGCTGTCAGACTGAGTGCTGCAGACAACACAGGGGCGGTCCTTTAAATATGTTCACAGGGAAAAGTCTAGATGTAAGTTGCTGATTGGAAGGTTACACAAAAAGCTATAGGTTACAACACACTACGTGAAAACAGCATGGCCTTCAACAAACTACTTACTGGGTGCCCACCCTGTGCCAGGTACTGCCACCTTTCTAGGAGGTGTTACTGGTTTAAGCAGAGGACTCAATATTTAGACATAAACTTTGCTCTGGTATAGTGTTGACATTCTGGAGTGATCACAAGGCACTTACACAGATAAAACAAGAAACACTTAGGTATCAATACACTTATTACCTGTTTGTAATGGCTGAAGTAAAAGAAGAATAATTTGGGATATCTGTTTTCCAGACGGCTCTTCAATCAGTTCAAGCAAACCCAACAATAATTCCTTTGGATTACATAACTACAAAATATTCACAATTGAACCTGTTTAATACAAGTTGTATTTAAAGCCACATGATTACTATTTTTAAAAGGCACATACTGAGAAATATAATTATTTTTCCTTAACACCAAAACACATCAGATTGTTCAAAACACAGAATCTGTGATTCTGTGAAATTGAGAAGTCAGACAACTACATTTTAGAGACGTAACTCCTGGAAAAGTCAGAGATAGGGAAGGGAGAGCGTGATCAGCAGAGCGCAGGCTTCCCGGGAGTGCGGCCGGTCTGCTCCGAGGGCCGCCTAGGGCTCCCGGGCCGGCCGCCTCTCACTGCCAGGGCCCTGAGACGGGTGCAGCGGCCCGCCTGCCCTTTCTCAGCAGACAGAACTTCCACTGCCCTCTGACTGGTCCTAGCCTATCACCTCATTTGCCTTGGTTTTTTTTAAGCTCTCATAGTTTATAACGAATATCTAGGGAGTCTCCCTCTTTCCAAGTATACATTTGTGTTCATTTAGAGTAATCTCTAAGTGGCTTCTTATAACAGCCTTTTTCTCAGAATCTCTCTCTCTCAACCATCACTTTTGGCCTCTGACTCTAATTAAGCTCTTCCTAAGGCTGTCATTCACAGCTCATCTACTTCCTACTTCTGTTCCCGCTGTGACCAGCGGCATTCTGAGGTTTTCATGCTCTTTTAGGGAACACACTACAAGGGAAAGAGCACTGAGATCGGACTTCAGTTCCAGCCTTCCCAAAAGGTCTCTGTGGCCTAGAGCTACTTCTCTAAATCTTTGAATTCCACATCTATTCAATAAGCTACTTAAAAAAAAAATAGAGATTCTTACATCTCTCTGCGAAGACTCTGAACCAGTGGGTCTAAGATGAGGTTAGACAATTCTTACATCCAGGAAATCTGGGAAAGATGAAGAGGACTTGTCCATCTAATCAATAAGGTGGGGCCTTTTCTCCAAAGAGTTTCCACCAATATTCTCATGAATTAAAAGCTTTCTCATCAGAAGCACTAAAGGGGATTATAAAATACTACTGTGTATTGTGACAAAAAGAATCAAGTTTTATTAACGTACCTTTACCAGTACATCAAGCATCAGAAAATAATACTTTCTTTTATCATCTTCCTTATCATTCCATAAAAGGCATCGAACAACAGGACCAACTAGATTCCAGCCCATGTTCTTGACGATGACCTGTGAAACATTTTCAGAGTAAAGCAAACACTGCCGTCTATGGGGCTCTTACCAGGAGCTTTCTTGACGTGGAGGAGCTTACGATTTCCTCTAACATAGGAAAGATGAGGCAAGCGAGCCCATCAACATCTCACCACGGACTTGCAGGGGCAGCTGCCAACAGGTCACATTCAAAAAAGGGTTCTAATTCTTTCACTGAGGAACGGTGAATGGGCCTTTGCTTTTAATCAGGTAATCTGGCCTTTCCCAGGATTTAAACAGATCCTGTGTTTCCAACAAGAGAGTTAACTTGCTTAATAGGAGTGAGTACTTAATTTTCATGGAGAATTTTGTTCCCCCTGATTCATAGAGAAATCCAGCCAATGCTCACAAACTTTTTAAAGTTCCTTGGAGAATTTCTAAATACATTATAATCATGTAACTTGTTCGAGAAATAGGGAAGACTTGTTAGAGAAACAGAAGTTTAATGGGCACAGACAGGTGGGAAAGACATTCAAGGCTCTAAAACAGCAATGTGCAAAGGTGTAAGACTTAACATGTCCTAGAGAACTGATTACAGAGGATGTCAGGGAATGCGAACACATCGTTCACAAAAGAGTAAAAGAGGAAATGCTATCTGTTCACATCTTCATTTATCAACTGGACATTTTAGTGTTGTCTTGTCAATCGCATGAGCTCCTTATATGTTAATATTCACTTGGTTGTATTAACAATAAATTATTCTTTGGTTTTTCAGTTATTCTAGTTTTTTATATAGCAAAATATAGTGATTATTTCTTTGGTCCCTTTTCTACTGTTTTCAGGTCTAAAATGGGTTTCCCCCATGAGATTTATAAACATTCATTTAAATTAAAAGTATACATATGTTTTACCTTTCTTTTTATTCAATAAGATTTATATTGGATACATGGCATAAAATGAAGCCTTAAATTGATATTTTTTCAGCAAATAGCAAAACAATCATGCTTTTTACCTAATGGGATACACAGTTCAGTTGATCTCTCTGAACATTCTTCTCATTCTAGTTATTTCTTCCGCCTGGCACACTCCTATCCCAGACAGCCCCATCGTTTACATCTCTGCGTCCTTCAAATTTCTATGCGATTTCACCCAACGCAATCTGTACCCCGACTATGCTGCCTTACTCTCTAGGGTATCTGTCACTTTCTAACATACCATATAATTTATTTATTATGTGTGTATCTGTCTTTGTTAGAATGTAACATCCACATGGGCAGTGACTTCTGTTCACTGCTGTATCTACTCCCAGCGCCTGGAGTAGGGCCTGTTACAAAACACATGTTCCACCAGTACAGGCTAATGGTGTCCGTTACTTCTCAGCGTAACAAATCTTCCTCCCTCCAAAGATTCCATACTCTGCTCTGCTTTCTTCTATTTTTTGTGTAACTTGACTTTTAATATTTAGGTCTTTACTAATTGGGAACTTATGTTACGTGGTTATTAGTTTTTTATCCAAATTACTAATTATTTATTCCATCATTGCTTATGAAATAAGCCTACATTCGCTTTTAAAAACTTAACTAGTTCCTGTGAGACTCTGCTTTTTCAACTAAGCGCTTCTTTCCCTTTTCATAGGTCTACTTCTACACTGTAAGTGATTCTCTGAGAATAATCAACTAGAAGAGAAAATTCCAGATTTGAATAAGATTTCACATATCTTGGCTGAAAAAAGAATTTTTAAAAAAAATTTTAGTAGTCAGTTTACAACTTCTGGTGTACCGCATGATGTTTCGGTCATATATTTATATACATATATTCCTTTTCATATTCTTTGGAAAAAGAATTTTGGTGAACTATCTCACAATTATAATTTCGGCTGCAAGGTATCCAGTCATTATGCAGACAGTGAGTAGTTATAAGGGGAATAAAAGTAACAATCCATAAGCTACACATTGTTTAGTTGAATACTAACAATGCTACTAGATAAAATCATTATCCCCAATGGGCAGATGAGAATGCCAAAGCGCAGAGATTACTGCGATGCCTACACCTAACAGCTAAAATGCCTAAATCTAACAGCCAGGATTTGCATGTAAGTCTGTCCAGCTCCAAAGACCATGCTTTCCCCAGTATATTAGTGGTTTTCAGTGAGGGCAATTTGTTCCCTATCTACCAGGGGACATTTGGCAAATCCTGGAGACATTTTTGATTTTCACTACTGGGAGGACAACTGATACAAAATCAACAGTGCGAATGTTGAAAGCCCATACACTATAGTGTCAGGATAAACTGCTATTCCTGTGGCTTAAAAAATTTTTTTTCTTTTACACAAAGCAGATTAATAATAAATTTGATCAATCTTGATTGTGTCACCTGTGTCACTTTAAACTCTCTTATCAATATCTGAATCTTTTAAATGAGCAAACGACACATTACAATGGTGATTCTCAAGCTATGAAGGCTAAGCCTCACTATGCTTAAATCTGTCACAATCACCTAATCTCTAAAAGTCACACACAAATCTACATCTTAATCCATTTCTCTACTAAGCTCTAAACATTACTTTTCAATTGCCTGCTGCATCTTAAACTTAACATTGCCAAAGAAAATTTTTCTGTCCTTCCTCAGGGAACTTTCTCCTCTTCTTAAGCTGCCTTTTTCTGTTCAGGATATAATATACTATCCTCTCAGAGGCTGAAACCCCATCTTCTTGGTCGTTTCACTCTCCCTCACCCCCACAATCAGCAGCTCTCTATTCGACTCTAAAACTTCCATGCTACACAGTGCTAACTGAAGGCAGAGCAGAGTGGTTAAGAGCTCGAAAACCAGGCTGCACAGATCTAATTTAATTTGGGCAAGTCACTTATCTTTCAGTGACTCTTTCTTTGTCTAAGAAATGAATTTAACATTGGTACCTATATTATGGGATTCTGGAAAGACTGAATTAGTTAAAAGATGTAAAACAGGTAAGACAACATCTGACTGATAGTAAACACTCAATAAACCTTAGCTTTCATTTATTTTATCATTATTAGCTAAGAGTGAGGCACTCTCAAAGATTATCCTCTGAGAATACAATTGGGAAAAATCAAGGAGTTAAAGAAAGCATTACATTTATTTTATTTCAGGCTACAAAAATATTATAAACATATAACAAAAACAAATGTACTAAATAAAATGTCCTCATTTTTATTAAAAATTTGATAAATAAAAAAGGGAGAAGCCCTCTGAACTAGTAAGAGATTCTATAACAATGTATGGCTAAAAAGTTTCAGTAATTTCCCAAATACAATCAAGGTACCCTGGATATACTCCTAGGCCAGCATGACTAGACTATGAAAGAAAACTTCTATATAAAAAAATAGCATTATAAATGAAGAAGGAGTATGCTCCTGGAAAGAAGATGGTCCTCCCTTGTATAACAGGGTGGGGGTGGGCATCTAAAGACACAAAATCAGGCAGTATTGTCAACACTGTGTCCCAGCTGTTCCTGATCCCCAAGAGATCCTTTCCCATTGTGCAGAATGATTTCTCAGATGATTGCAGCTGGGTGACATTGACCAGTGAGGTCATCGAGCTCTCCCTGTGTTCTAACTCTATGCACCCAAAATACCATCTTACCTACTATCTGGCTTTTCATATACACCTGGCTAGAAAAAAAGAATGTGCTGATTGCTAAAAATGGGTATCTGAGACTTACATTTCTCAATGTAAATTGATGATTCAAATGCCACTTTGATCCCTAAACCAGAAGTAGGCCCCTCTCTGCTCAAGCATTTTACTTGTGTTTCACCTACAGCACTTACTCTGGAGGCTAACTGAGTTAGCAGATGTACAGCATCGGTTTATTCTGCCTCCTATTGCTGACTGTTTACATGTTTATCTCTCCTACCAGACTGTAAGCACCTTAAAGTATATAATTAGTCCTAACATTCTCTTTATTTTCCACAGTTTTCTACTGTGCATGTTTAAATTGACTCTTAAATGTTTACTGAAAAAAATGAGTCGATGAATAATCGTATCATGTGGCTACTCTCTTCCTACAGACACTGAAAAGTACATACAAAGATTCTTACCTTATTCTTTTCATTTTGAATAATTTCTACCAGTTGATCTATGTGCCCTTCATCTAAGCATCTCTGGCCTGCTAACTGAAACAGGCCAAAGTCTTCTTCTCTAAAGTCTTGCTCTTCTAGGATTTGCTGGCAAAAACAAAAGAAAAAGAAAAGTATGTTTAGGCAAATGAAAATTCAGTAACTCCTTAATTATTTTCTCTCTCTGAAAATAGTGAAATCTGTTTAAATTCTACATAAGTTGCACTTAAACAAATGTATGAAAACTAGGATTAGCCTAATAAATACTTCAACAAATGATCCTGAAATCCACTGTGCCAAAGAAACCTATGGTAAGAATCACTATTTAAAATTATAAAAAAAATCTACGGTAAGAATCAGTATTTAAAATTATAAAGTATGTCACACAGTATGATATACTTGGAGAAATAATCCAATCTGTCGTCCTGCCTTTATGCTATTTATTCCTCGGTAAAAAAAGCAAGGATTAAAGAAGCTTAACAATTTGAGTAATCTCAAATGGGATTAAAAATAATCTGTACCTTTCCCATATTTTGAAAGATATTTAACTTCACAAAAAAAAGACAAAGAAAAAATTACTTACACATCTCTTTATTATGGATTGAAGTTCCTCCACAGCCATTCTTTATTTTTTTCTAGTCTTGATGCTGAAATGTACTAAGATAGAACACACTGTTAACGATCAGTGATTCTATATTGAAGAATTACTAATAAATACAATAAAGAAAATGGAGTTTTCACGCTGAAATGTTTTTACTGAAATTACGTTAGTCTGAGAAAATGAAAATCTATCGCAAAAACAAACTCCTGTTTCCTCTTTTAGGTTTCCCAGGAACACAGTTTTGAAAGATAACCTTAAGGAGAAAAGTCGTCGAGAGCACTACCAAGAGGCAGCGCGGATAGAAAACGTAAGAGCTTTTAAAAGGCAGTCTTTTTTCCAAAAGGTGGGCCTGAAATCAGTTCTGATCATCAGGGAGTCTGTTCAAAATTTTAACCTCCCACTTGACAAAAACTGGAGTGCAACACAGCTCATCCAGGGGGTGAGGGCTGAGACGCCCTCCGCCCCGAGGGTGGCCGGGGCGTTTGTCCGTCGGAGGTGCAGTCCCCCCGGTACAGCCATCGAAATAGCCAAGTCACCACACCGCACGGACACAAGGCGACCGGCGCCGTCAGGACGACACCGGTCCGTTCCCGCAGCCCCTCGTTTGTCCGGCGGGGAGACCCGTCCCCAGCCCCGCAGGAGGGGCGCGGCAGGCCG